TTCAAGTGAATGGCATCAAATCCTGCTCAGGGTCCTGCTCTGAAATTCCTTGACTTTTTAGCAATGTCTTAATGTTTGTAAGCCACCTGGGGTTGCTCAAAGTGAGATGGGTGTCAAACAAATCAAATCAAATCAATAAATAAATATCACTTGGCATTGAAGCAGCAGTTAGAAGTTGGAAGCCTGTCTGCTTTGCCTCCACCAAGTAACTCCCTTAGACATTACCTCTCTTCTTCCAACCTCACGTTCACTAAGGGATGTCTTATTCCCTGCTCTCCACTTGCACATGCTTGTAAGGAACTTCCACAAGATAAGCTCTGGAGTTTCTAGGTGATGGGGGTGGGACGTGACAAGGTGGGAAGCAGGTCCAAGACCTGTGGGGGCCCCAAGTGGCAGAATGGGGGGGGGGGTAAATGGGCAGTTAGGGCTTGTGCAGCCTCCCTATAATCAACCCTAAGGGCTGATGTAGGGATGCTGCAGTGGCCATATCTTTGAAACCAGGTCATAAGTAGCTCTTCCCGGGGGATATAAGTTTGAATGGTCACTAAGGGATCAGTTGTAAGTCAAGGACTACCTTATGTATCTTTGTTGCTGTGATATCTCTGCACGTTTAATATTTAACCATTGGAAGGGACCTTGGAGGTCGTCTACTACTCCAATCCCCTGCTCAAGCAGGAAACTCTATACCATTTCAGATAAATGGTTGTCTGGTCTCTTCTTAAAAACCTCCAATGTTGGAGCACCCATAATTTCTGGAGGCAAGTTGTTCCACTGATTAATTGTTCTAACTGTCAGGAAAGTTCTCCTTAGTTCTAGGTTGTATCTCTCCTTGATTAGTTTCCATTGCTTCTTGTCCTGCCTTCAGGTGCTTTGGAGAATAGACTGACCTTCTCATCTTTGTAGCACCCCCTTAGATATTGGAACACTGCTATGTCACCCCTAGTCCTTCTCTTCATTAAACTCGACATATCCAATTCCTATAACCATTCTTCATATACTTTATCCTCTAGTCCCCTAATCATCTTTGTTGCTCTTCTCTGCACTCTTTCTAGAGTCTCAACATCTTTTTTATATTGTGGTGATCAAAACTGGATACAATATTCTAAGTGTGGTCTTACAAGGCAATATAAAGTGGTATTAACACTTCATAAAACCTTGATTCTATCCCTCTGTTAATGCAGCTTAGGACTGTACAGGTAGTCCTCAACGTATGATCACAATTGAGCCCAAAATTTATGTTGCTAAGTCAGACATTGGTTAAGTGAGTTTTGCCCCATTTTATGACCTCTCTTGCCATAGTTGTTAAGTGAATCATTGCAGTTACATTAGCAACATGGTTGTTAGGTGACTCTGGGTTCCCACTGACTTTGCTGGTCAGAAAGTCGCAAAAGGTGATCACATGACCCCAGGATACTATAACCGTCATAAATATGAACCAGTTGCCAAGCATCTGAATTTTGATCACGTGACCACGGAGATGCTGCAGTGGTCATGTGAAAAATGGTCATAAGTCACTTTTTCAATGCTGTTGTAACTTTGAATGGTCACTAAATGAACTGCTGTAAGTCGAGGACTACCTGTATTGCCTTTTTTGGCAGCTGCAGCACACTGCTGGATCATATTTAAGTGATTGTCCACTAGGACTTTGAGATCCCTCGCACAGTTACTACTATTGAGCCATCTATTCTATACTTGTGCATTTGGTTTTTCTTGCCTAAATGTAAAGCTTTATTTTTCTCACCACTGAATTTCATTTTATTAGATAGGGCCCAGCGTTCAAGTCTGTCAAGATCCTTCTGTATCTTGAGCCTATCTTCTAGAGTTTTGGCTATTCCTGCCAGCTTGGTGTCATCTGCAAATCTGATGAGTTCCTCTTCTATCCCCTTGTCTAAATCATTGAAGAAGATATTGAAGAGTACTGGACCTAAGACAGAGACTTGGGGTACCCCAGTGCATACTTCCCTCCATGTAGATGCTTTTTGTCTAGACCTGCCGTAGCCATTTTCAGAAATAACAGACATTTGTTCATTTTCTGACTACAGTTATCATCTTGATGAATCTTTGAGCCTCAAAAAATAAACATATTACTACTTCAACTACTTCTATTTATACTAGGTTGGCATTGCCTATTGACATTGCCTTAGAGATTTATGTTGATCAACACTTTTGCCTCTATTCTTTTACCTTCCAGAAGAGGTTCTTTAAGTGGCATCAGCATATCTGGATTTTGCTCAGCAATTTTTATTTCAATTTCTTCTGCTTCTCATCTACCATGTCTCATGATATATGTATATACATACATACATACATACATACACACACATACACACACACACACATACATACACACATACATACATACATATATATATAATATAAATTAAACACGTGTATTAGGCTACTTACATATATTAGATTATTTCCTTCCTGCAAAACTGCCTCTACATGTTGTTGTTTTTCTAAATCTTTGAATTTAGAAAAAAATATAATTCTAGCCAGGTTTTTGTAAAAAAAATAATAAAAGGAAGCTAAACTAAAGAGCATTCCTGAATAACACTCAGAGATGGTCTAACTTGCCCTCACCCCTCCTCTTGTCTGCTGTCTCAAAATGCTCCTCAGTAGACTAGGAAAAAGATGTGGCCTTGAAGTATAGAGTTACAGACTGTAAATATGTTAAGAACATTCTTTGGCCAGTCAAGGGGAATTATATTTGAATGAAATTCCCTGGGCCACATTGGTACCTTTTTCCCACCCACCCCCCCCGGCCCTCCTCCTCCTCCTCCTCCTCCTTCCGCTGGACGGCTCCACTGAGCCGTCGCCATGGCAACTCAGAGCCCTGCTAAACAGGCAAGGCTTTGGGAGCAGCCTGTTCTTGTGGTTAGCGGGAATGATTGTTGGTTGGATTGCCTGGTATGCAGCTTCCAGCAGTCCAAACGCCCGTTCTGGCTCCCAAGGCGAAGGCTTTCCTTGTACACAGCTGGCTGGCTGGCTGGAAGAAGCAGAGGGGGGGGAGGAGGAGGGGGGAAAGTGGGAGGAGAGGTCATACTGCTGCTGAGAAGAGTTACTCCAACTCCAGCCAAGGAGGCGGTTCCCCCCCCCCCCCACTTTTGCCTGCCTTCGCATCTCGCTTTCTTTGAGGGAGGCGACGGGCCGAAAGCCCCTGCAGGAAGCAGCGTTTCTCTGCGCGTCGAGACGGGCTGAGGCCTAAAGGGGGCTCGCTTAGTTCACTAACTTTGGCAGAGCCGTAGATCCCCCGCCTGAGGATTGGAGGCTTCGGCTGCTCTGCTCTCTCGCCTGTTCTCGGCTCCAAACGCCGCGTTGAGGCCTCTTGCCAAGGTCCCGGGCACTTTTTCTAATGAGCGATCCGAGCGTGGGCCGTCAGAAAGCGGGAGACAAACACACCTCGCTCGGCAATATTCATTTGAAAAGATGATCCGCATCTCGGAGAGCCGGAAGGAGGAAGCTCGAAGCAAGTCCTCTTTTTCTTGAGAATTAATTTAGTGCCTCCTTTCTTCAGTTAGCCGGTCTCTGAGAAATGGGCAGCCATTCTCACAAACCTTTTTGCCTTGGATGAACTTAGTCTTCCCAAGAAGGTGAGTTTTCGGAGCGGGCGCTGAAGCGCTCCTTCCCCTTTCTTTTCCTAGGAAGGAACTTCCAAAAGCTGGGTGAGTATTTCTGTTGGTCTCCTTAGGAGATGGTAACGTTGTTGCTCTTCCACTGAAACTTTTCATCTCCTGCTCTTTTCTTGCTAAAGTGCATGGAAAAAAGTTTCCCCTAGTTAGAATCTGGGCAAGGATTGGAAGGAGAATGCCCCATAAGTTTATAAATTAAGGATTTATGCTCAGTAAGGTTCCCTAATCAAAAGGTGTTGAGTGTTAAACCAATAATTTTGCAGTCCTTTAGAGAAAAGGGAGTCTGTTTAGTGCTACAGAGTTGATGTTTTGCTTAGTTTGGGTGTAGGCAAATTTCCTCTCTAACTTCTTTGGGAGGTAGCCTGGCCCCAGAGACCGAGTTGCTGAAATTATTACTGGGCCATATCCAATATTTACAAGAGTTCAGCCCTTATTTCTAATCATGAAGTAGAATTCCTATAAAATGTTCCTCTCTTTTGCATTGCTCCTCGGCTTCAATTCCACACTTTCACATCTTGCTCCTGAAATATGCTTGAGAGCACACTTCCTTTAACTGTTTTCCAATAACATCCCTTGTTAAGCTGCTAAATATGTTTCATCCCAAGGCATCTCAAATGTCTTACTTCTGAGCCACTCTACTTTTGAAGGAAGCTATTTTAATTACCTTATTATAAGCTTATAACCTTATAATATGGTGGCCCCCAGGGCATTGTGTCCAATGGCCAGAAGCAAGCTTTTGTGATGCAATAACTTCAGATACACATTTGCTTCAATAACTATAGATATATACTCAGAACCATGCCTGCCTGCTGGGTTGTGGAGTGTAGGAACTGAATAAAGGAAAAGTTTAGGGCCCTGAAAAATAATAGGGCTCTGGTTAGCAGAACCAGAGCAGACTAGGTAAAATATTAATATACAACATAAACCTACAAAATTGGAAGCTTTTAATTTGTATAAAGCTGTACAGGTTGTAAAGTTCAGATTTTCTTGGCAAAAATGTAATGTAACGTTAATGTAGTTATTTAAATATTTTAGCAGGCAATAGAAGCATTGTTGTCAGCAATAATGAGAGAGGTCTTTAGGGCACCAGAGTTTTCCCTTTAAGGAAATTAGAATACAGTGTACATAATTAATGACATGTGAATTTGCTGGAGTTCAGATTATATTGTACAGAACTTTGCATACTTTGGGGAGTATTAGTATTTTTAGTATACAGCTCTGTGCAAAGGTCTTTCCCCAGACAGAAGGTATCAGCCCATTCTAGCAGATATTAACTTTGGAAAATGTTCTCAAGCAAAGCAAGCAGGTTTTGCTCAAACAATTTTTGTTTTTCCCCCAGAAGGTTTGTTATCAGCTGGACACAAGACCATGGAGGAAAATTTCTCTCCTGAAGAAAGAATAGGCAGCCTAAAGCAGTGTGCTAAAAATACTTCTAGACCCAAACAGCCTGACAAGTGCCCTGAACACGTAAATAATTTTTCTCTTAGTGGGCCAACTTGGATTCCAGTGGGACACAAAGGGTCTGTAAGTAAGTCCACCTCTGTTTTGGAGTCCAAGGTTAAAGCTCTTAAAGAGAAAAGGAACCTCATAAACAAGCGAACTGAAGCAACATCCCAGGAAGAGGCTTCTCTAAAGAAGCTTAAAGCATGCGACGGAAAGCCACCAACAGACCCTGCTCTTCAAAATGCAGTAGTGGAGCCACAAGCTCAAATCCGCACTTATTTGACAGATTTGCTGCTGGACAGCACTGAGTACCCACATCAGTTGCAGGAGGAATCTCAGGGAACAGTCCTTCCAGAGCCATACATCAATGATTTTGACCCACAATCTATGGAAACAGGAGAGCCCACAGGCATGAGCTTACCAAAAGAATTCAGGAGGCTGCCCGGAAGAGACATACCAGATAAAAAGTGTTCTTTAGAAAATGCCACAAACAAGACATCTTTAAGTGCCATCTCTGGAATTGGCTCTTTGAAAGACCTTTCCTTTATTCCAAAATCTTTTGAAGAAACAAATGGTAAAGAAAACCATCTAATTCGCCCTAAGGAGTTTGACGGCAGTTCTTTTATGAAAAGGAATGACACGTCTGAGATGGCATCAGCTGGGAGGATATGGAGAACAGAGAGCTGGGACAGTCTTGGCAGTAGCAGCAGCAATGTCAGTACTTTATCTTTAGCAGAGAGAGTGGAAAGAAACCGGTCTAAGTTGCAGGAGATGCTGAGCACATCACAGTTGAACAGCCGTTGCTCACAGGAACCACATACTTTGGATACTTACCGGAAGGAAACCCAAAACCTTGGAAATAATGGGCCTAATAATGGTATGTTGATGTGATGAAAATGGGGTGATAAAAATGGAAGTTTGGATAGGTGATAAAATGTCTCAGAAACTATTACAGCAAGAAAATCTGTAACATAACCAGCTCCCTCTCCTTTTTTTTTTCACAGTTCATCTTTTGGGTTATTCTACTGTTGGGTTTTGATCTAAACTTTGGGGATTTTTTACCTCTTTCTCTGGATCTCCAAGAGAAGTAAAATCTGATGATAAAACCAGAATCCATTTTACCTTGCATTTGACCTTTTCTCGGGTGTTTTATTCTCATTCCTTACATTTATTAATAATAGTCATTGATTTTCTGTGGGATTGTAACAAAGAAGAAAATGTGAAAGTAATTACATGTTCATTGTGGTTCTGACCAATCCCTCCATTTAAAAAAAGACAAAAAAATGTTTGGTTCTAAACTTAATAGGTAGGGAAAGGAAGGGCAACACATAAGACGTTATGAACTTGAATCCTGACATTTCCCTGTGTATCCTTCTCATGCTATATTTGGGGAATACTTAAAAATGTCAACAATTGGTTAAAATCTTTCTATTCTTTCTAATGGACATGGTGACACACACACACACACACACACACACACATGCAAAAGAGTTTTCAGCACCCTTCATATAGGATTATGAGATAAGAAAGTATAACTGTGCAGTTACTTGAGAAAACTTTTAGATTGATGTTAAAAATAAGTGACTAACAGTGTGAACTACTGTTTGAATTTTTATTTATTGACTTGACAATTGACATATAATGTTCTATCTAATTTGATACTTGCATGATGCTTCAATTCATACCATTCGAAAACTATTCAAAATAATTGCTTCTGTCCACGTCCAAGCATTCAAACAGCCGAATGTTTTCCAGGATTTTACCTAAGACTTAAAGAAGGCACGCAGTAGCCTGAAAAAAAATGAGCTGCTTTAAATATCACAGTGTAAATTCTGAAAGATCTGAAGCACTTCTGAATAATTTTCAAAGTATCAACAGCTCTGATAACAATTTCAGTGGGCATATTGGTAGTCTAAAGATTAGTGGCAAGGTAGCTTAGAGGTGAAGACACTCGCCTCCCATTTGGAAGGTTGAGAGTTCAATTCTAGGCAGTGACAGATGTTTCTTTATCAGAGCACAAAGAAATATCTGCTAAGTGAAGGAAGACTGATACAAGATGTTTTACTGGTGGTATGTTACTCCAGAATTGGTTGCTGAAATTGACATTTTATTATTTAAATATTTTTGTAGAGGTAATGGGTTGGATAATTTTATCCAAATTTGATAGCAATATGGTAAAATTCAACAATCTTTGGAAAATTATTTATAATAGATTGACACACATTTTAAAAACTGAATTTCAAATCTTCTATTTTTCTATTACATATTACTAAATCTGACATTCCCACAAAGTATAGTGAATTAGCTCTGTATATAGCAAGTGCTGTAAGGGTACTATTGGAAAGTATGCTAAATTCCTACTGCAGAAGAATGGTTAATTAAGCTGTGAGAGTATGCTTCAATGTTTAAAATAACTTTGTATTTCAGAAGTAAATCTGATATAGACTTTAAGTAAACTTGAACACATTTTGGAGTTATAATGTTATATATCAGCTTGTACTATATGAAATTTAAGTTTCTCTTTACTCTAAAATCTTTTTCTCAGAAAAAATTTACTCTCGCATTTTTTATTTATATTGTATTCTATACTGTTGCTATTAATGAAATATGGACATGGGTAACCTAATTCTAGGAAATTTAGACATTCCCTGTTTATCTATTTTGTACTTTATTTTTCCTTTTTTTCCTTCTTTCTCCTTATCTTAAAATTTTTAATGTAAATAAATAAATGATTTAAATAATTATTGTTGGTGGCAAATACCTCCTTTGTAGGGAAATTATTGAGTGCGGATGGGCAAAAAGATCACTAGGTCCACATTCACATGAAAAAATGGATAAAATATATTGGCATTGAAGAACACTGAAACAAAGAGTATCTTTTGAATATCCTGCTATGTTTCTTCGGATTAAAATTAACAAAATTAATTAAGTACTTCTTTTGTCACATGATTACAGAGATTGTGCCAAACGATGGAGCCTGGGATTCTAATGTCTCCTTACAGGATTCTGAAGACTATCGGTAAGATTCCAGAGCTACTAAACTAAGGTTGTTTGTTTGTTTGATTATATGCCATGAAATCATTTTTGACCATGTAGATTTTTTCTATGAAGATGTGTATCTAACATGGTCTTTCAGGTCTTCTAATAGTGCATCTATTGCACCTAATTTAGTTGTAATTATGTCTATTCTGCTGCTGATCGCCCCTTTTGTTTTATTTCTTCCACCTTTCCCAGCATTAGAGCCTTTTCCAGTATTTGCATAATGTATCGAGAATAGGATAATTTGATTCTGGGGATTTGTGTCTTGAGTGGGTTGATTTGTTCAATGATCCATTTATTTGTTTTTTGGGCTGTCCACAATATTCTCAGGAGCCTTTTCCAATACAACGTTCAAAAACATCAACATTCTTTCTGTCCTGCTTCTTCAAAGTCCAACTTTTAACTAAGCTAAGGTGTTATGGGGTTTTCCAGTTCTCAGTTAGGGAAAAAAGAGTTTTTCTAAATGACAGTGGCCACTATACTAACATATCTTAAAACTCATTAACGAAGGCAAATATACGTATCCCAGGATCCAATCTGAGTCGGGAACCGGGACCAGAGATGTAGTCTTCCAGCTTTCAGACTCATGCTGAAGTCCATCCTCAGGGAATATCTCTCTCACCAGGATGTGTGGTCACCAGGACGCGTCCTGGTGAGAGAGAGAAGTTCCCTGAGGATGGGCTCCAGCACAAGTCTGAAAGCTTGGAAAACTAAACCTCTGGTTCCGGTGACTGATTCAGATTGGATCCTGCAATATTTTAAAAGTTTTTCAGCTTGGCGTTTGCCCTAAATATGCATTTATCAAAATACATGCAGAAAAAAATGTTTAACTTCTTTCAGGCCATATTAGGAATTTTGAAAAAAGAGAGATTGATAGTCCAAAGGGCACAACTTAGTTGTTTTCTAATGTTCCACTCCTCCTTGTTGCTTCTGATTGTTTACCTAATCCTGGGGGGGGGGGGGAATAGAACTCTATGTTTTAATACAGAGCTGAAAGACTTTGTTCCTGCGATTCTGGAGGGATGGAAACCACCTAATATGTCCTTCATCATTGCTCCTTTTACAGAGACGCACAGATTTATCCTCCCTCTGATCAGCAGATACCCTGGTTATTCAGACTTGACCTATGTCCAGATGCTGCTGATAGAATTATTTTATTACAGAGCATGTGGTTAGGTTTTGTACAGCAGCATATAACATCTGCTGGAATCTGCTGTGCCAAGTTCCTGCAACACAGATGCATTTTATGTGGTTTTAGATTTTATCATGTTTTATGTAATTTTACACGTCACATTTTATATGGATTTTAGATACCATCACATTTTTCTAATTTTAGACATTACCACATTTTATATAACTTTAGATACTTCCTTAAAACCTAAAAGTAGATTGCTCCTTTTGGACTTTGCTCAAGGATTCTAGTAGGTTGTTTTATAGATATATTTTAATTTTGTTTTAAAATTTATATATTGTCTCTTAAAATAAATTTATAAGTACTCACAGAACACTCAAGGGCACATTGTACTTCTTTCAGAGTGTAATGAATTGACTAAACTGAAATAATTGAGAAATGAATGGGAGAAAATGTTTGCAAAGTAGCACCATAGAACAGCTATAGGCAAAGCTTTGATACTAGAAAGCATGTACAGAATGTTGAGAGCATGTAGATTTGACTCCAGAAAATGATAGAGGACAGGAAGACCTGGAGGAACGTTGTCCATGGGGTCACGATGGGTCGAACATGACTTCACAACTAACAACAACAACAAGATTTGCTTGCAGATTGGCCTCCACATAAGGTTGGCAGGCCCAAAATACTGGCATCACTATGAACTGTCAAAGTTGCCTTTTCATGAATGGCATCTAGCTCCCTGGGATGTCATTCCAGATTATTTCAGTCATTTTATTCTGGACAGATAGCATCACTTCCAAATTAAGCACTGAATTGCAGCCATCCACTTTTTATGCATATTAGCAATGTTTAAGGAACTTAGGTCGAATCCACAGCCATTCTGTAAATGAAGATGTTGTCCTAGTTGATATTTTGTTTTGTATCATACCTGTTTCCCATTTAATATTTTTGAACTAAGAAACAGCAACAATAAAAAATCAGGATAAGGAGGGGAAAGAGTTAGAAACACTTAAGGTGTTTATGGACTCATTTTCTGAATTTGGGAGACAAGGGAACATTGGTGTAGATATTTGTTTATTGAGTTTAATGTACTATCTCAAGATGACACTTCTGTAACTGACGTTCATATCAAATTTATGAAAATGATAAGAGGTTTGTGTGGAATATAAACAATTGCAAAATGAGCAAAGGGTAGTATTCTAGAAATAAAGGACATGCAATGCTGCAAATACTTAGCATTCATTTCTAGGAAATGTATGTAGAATATATGAATTGAAATATTTTTTAATATATAATCAAATGTTAAATCAAATATACTGTAGCTCTAAAATTATATAATTCATGCATAGCTGTCTGTCTATCCAAGCACCCTTCCATCTTGAATTTATAAATATCTTCAATTTTTATACTTGAAAAGCAGCAAGGCTTCTAACAAAATATATACATGTGTATCATTTCCCTTTTAAATCTAAAGTGTAACATTGATTAGACTAAGCAATACTTGGACTTTGAACATTTTATTTAAGATTTTACAAAGTACTTTAAATGCAATTTTAGTATGACTTCATATGATAATCCAACAAAAAGAAAATTGCATTGTGTTGATAGACTAGACACAGTAAAATTACAGATATTAGTATCCAATTTTATCCAAATTGTAGATAAAGAGAAATATTAGTATCCAATTTTACCCAAATAGTTACCTAATATATCCAGATTACTCATCCGGTCATAAAATGGTTACCTTCTGATGGCATGTCCTTATCTGTTTTTAACATTTTATTAAATTTCAAAAAAGTATAACATACAACAAAGCAAAGAAAAAAGAATTAAAAAGAAAGAGGGAGGGATAGAGAAAAAACAAAATTGGGGTGTGTTTTTTATAATATGTTATATTATCTAAAGACAGTACTTCTATTATCATAAACAAGTCAAATCATTAAAACCCAGGGTTTAATGGGATATCCTTATCAATAAGTAGCAGAATTTGATAACTTGATAGGTAGCTTTCATATTTTGTCTCATATAAAGTAAAATGTACACTGTAAAATATCTTGGGCAATTTTTAAAAAGTTACTGAAGTAATATTTCTTTTGGTTAGAATAAAATATGCAGCATAGAAAATGCTCCTAAAGCTCCTAATTCAGTTTTGCTTGAGTCAAATGGGCATAATCCCCATATAAAGGATTTTTTCTGAATACACATTCCAAGATTGTTGAGGGTTGGCTTAACTCATTTTGAAACTCAGTAGTGTCGATTCATTGCTTAATTATTTCTTTGGCTTTATCCAGCTCAAATATTAGGAAAAACAGGTGACAAAAGAACATAGTTTACTTGTAATGTTCACCCACCATTTAGGTATATAATTGTCCCTTGTGCCTACTGTAAACAGCTCAATGGAATCCTCTCTAGCAAACAATGTTACCTTGTTGGACTCAGGAATCATGCCTGCTCTGTGGCAACACCATTCCTGTAGAACACCATCCTCCCTGAGACCTTGAGGCTGTGAGGATGGCCACCTATTTATTAGCTCCATGTCTCTCCTGGTTGGTTAAAGCATCTTGGGAGACAGGTAATTGTTTGGTTCCAAGTGGTTGTGAATTCAGCCTTGAGTGAAGGGGTCATTCCACTGTCTCTTAAAGAGGCAGCGGTCCCTTTGGTAAGAAGGTTCAAGAGAATGGGATTGGGCTGCAGCTTCAGAGGACCCTGGAGTAAATGATTTATGTGCACTATAATAAATTATACTGTAATCTGCAGCTGACAATTTATCATCTGAGTAGGATGAGAATTGGCCAGAGTGGTCACTCAGAATAACTTCATTAAGAATAAATAAATCTAGTCTGAATGACATTTGCACAATCCATATGGTAGATTATTCCTATTGTCTAGGGAGGACTTTGAAGACAGAGTAGGCCCTTTGCCAGCTCTGGGGACCAATTTTGAAAATGCATAAATGACCTCATTTGAAAGGCCCATTTTAGTCTTTAAATCGCCTCTGATAATCATGTAAGTTTGCAGGTGCAGATCTTTTCAGTGTGTAATATTATGTATCACTCTAGGTCAGCATTATCCAAAAATTATTGCTGTGAAGAGCTGAGGCTAGAAGCAGTGGCTTGCCAAATGCCACAATAGCTGGTTTATGGCCAAAGCAAAATTTCAATCAAGACTTCTTGAATTATTATGTAACATCAACTCCAATGATAAATCATTCTGTAGGCCTAAAGGAAACAAACATTTTGTGTGAAGAGTCATGTATAATTGTCCATTCCTAAATTCAATGATGCAGAAATAACAAGATCTTTGTTGTGTTATTACAATACAAGCTTCGCCCTTTTGTACTTGTGTTGTGACATTGCAAAATAGATTTAATCACTTGCCCCATTCCTGTAATGTTAGTAGTAGTCACATTCTATGATCACTAGTCACTGGCTGCGTTCTATTTTGCATAGCATTCCATGGGCCCTAATCAAAAATCAGCAGGGCAGAGTTGGACTGGGGGAGGAAATAATAAGGCGACGAGTACAGGTTAGAAATTACTATGTAATAAATCTAAACATATTTATTTTTGATGCTCCCAAATCATCCAGAAGAAATGAATAACATTCTTAGCACAGAAATCGACATGTTTCCATGTATTAATGTATATTCAAGTATTATATATAATTGAAGTTGCAATATATATTTGAAATAAAAATCAAACATAGCCACTATCCATCAAATAGGGCATTTGAAAAACTAGAAAATGTCCAACTTGAAAGGCAGAAAGGTCAGTTCTAAAATATTTCTGAAATTTGACTTTATATGAAGTTCATCCTAAGTGTTTGATCAGAGCTAGTTTGATGTACTGGTTAAGACAACAGGTAAGAAATTGGGAAACTGAGTTCTATTCCTGTTTAGGTATGAAGTGAGCTGAATTTCTCTCAGCCTTAGGAAGTAGATAAGGGCAAACCACTTCTGAAAAAATTGCCAAGTAAACTGCAAGGACTGGCAGTTGCCAGGAGTCAACACTAACTTTAGAGCAGGAGGTCCCAACCAGGGGTGCTCACACCCCTTGGGGTTGGAGACGATATTCCAGGGGGTGCGAAAACTTGGGTTTTCAAAATTATAGTGTATATGCATAATTCGTTGCTGTTATTTCGAACTTTTGTAAGGGGTGCAAGAATATATAAGAAGCGTTCTAAGGATGCGGGGTATAGAAAAGGTTGGGAGCCACTGCTTTAGAGGTATTTTATTGTCCCAAACTAAATAAAGAGAGCTAAGCAGAGCTAATAAAATAATATCCATATATTCATTTCATATAAAGAACAATTCCAAAAATCTGACTCAATTGTTTCTTCTTCCTCTTATCTCTAAACCAGACACCTACTCAGAGTTAATAAAGTATACATAGCAGCAGTGCAGTGCTGCAGAGATTGGGTGTCTCTCTGGAGAGATGTTTGATTGTTTCTTTCTCTCTTTGTGAATCCCTATAAGGAAGTAATCTACAGTACACCATGAGTTCAATTCCTGGCAGAGATTTGAGCCCCTTAGAAGGATCCCTGGCTACGTATGCCTGATGAGTCCCAAGTAAGGACAACAGCTGTCATATGCTGCCTCCTGGTGATCAGTATAAGTAAACCACCTCACAGGGTCCACTGTGTTTGAAACTGGAGAAATTCCTCCCCAAGAAGGAAAGTGGAAGTCACATAAAATCTCATAAAACAAGGGCATGATATATGTGTCTTCTGTATGGTCTGAGAGAGTACAAAAAAGGCAAGTAGATTGTACATGTAATTCTAAAGATGAACTCTACGAAAAGAAGCTTTCTAAAACTATACATTGAAGAAGATTGGAGATCTGGATAGTACAAATGACGCTAGAAATTAAGTCATAATATGATCTAGACTAGAGCCTTGTGTGTGTGTGAGAGAGAGGGGGGGGTATTTGAAACAAAGTGTTTTGAGGGAAAATGTATCATCATAGTGTTATTTGGGATGATAAGGCTAAGTCTCCCATCTAGTTAGACTTCTGGAAGACACCAGAATGGCTTTCGGACATTCTTTCTCTCAGCATGACCTACATCCTAGAAGAGCTATCCATTCTACCTTGAGCTGCTGAATAAAAGGCTAAATATTAAATAAACATACATAAATAATCAGTCCCTCCTGGATGCATTGGAGGTGTTTCTTTGGGATCAGTGTCTGAAGAATTTAAAGGAAGTATGATATTTCAGATAGGTTGCCAAGCATCATTGGAGACATGCTTTGTCTGTTCATGTCTGAACGAGACCTGCAAAAACAAGCAGTATGCATATTACTAGCCTCCGTGGGCAAACACATTCTAAGCTGAAAGAGTTAAACTTGGATCAACCAAAGTGACTCACTAAGCTGATTAAAGTAATTATAAAGATTATGATCAAGACAAATGGGAAATGTCTGAGTATACTGGTAAGCTTGGTAGGGGAGAAAATGGGTCACATGATAAGATGGCAAATCACTATAGGGCAAATGTTTAAAGAAGCAGCAATATGTTTTAGGAATAATGAAAAGCTGAGGTAATATTGGTAGGGGAGGAATTAATTCCCTGAAGAAAGAAGGATAATATAATAATAAATTTATAATTATAAAAAGACATAGTAAATGAAAATATTGTACTATTCTGTTTATATTTTGCTGGTTAGACAAGCCATACCTTACAAAATGTAGAAATAGGCAATATTCAGAAGTTCTCTTTTACATTTGATCTGTGGGAAAACCATTTGTTTTTCAGTTTTATCCACTATTTTATATTTGTTCTCTTAAGAGATCTCAGCATATTGTGCTTGGTTGTCTCTTTGGCTGTTGTGGGCATATATAGATAGTATTGTCTGCAAAATACCTGCCAAAGAACATTTCTATGCATAATTGAGCCTGCAATAATGGTCGTAAGTCATGACTGCCATTAAGTGGCTTACCATGTGATCAAATTGATCCTAAGGCCTTAACAATGCCACAGTTGTTAAGGTAAGCCATTGTTTGCTATGTGACAATTTTTGCAGGAAACTGGAAGTAAATGTCCGGTTTCCAGTAAATACGTTGTGAATTGCAATCACATCACTGCGGGGCCTACAAACAGCCATAAATATAAATGCAGGCTAAGTGCACATGACTTCAAGAGGAGCCCAAACATTGGAACTTTGAAACTGGCTCATAAGTCCCATTTTTAGAACCCTGGTGACTACAAATGATTGCTAATTTTTATATATATATATCAAATGCCTGCCTTTATGTTTATTTTATTAATGTTTTGCATATATCTTTCTCGAACATTTTAGCATTGCTACTGTCTTCCTACTGTTGATATTCTGGCTAGCCTGCTGTCAGATCATTAATCTGCTTGAGAATATGTTGGCCATTAAAAATACCATCTTCTACAACTATGTTGTCTTTCCACAATGCTGCCACTCTCATCATTAAATCATTCTTAATCTGTATTTTCCTCTCTCCCCACTAATCCACCATTGTTTGTTCCCCATTGCCTTGCCTGCAGGGTCTTTGTTCCTAACCAAAAGCTGGAGCTGAGCCCCAGGCATGAACAGGCCAAGCAGCTGCTACAGAGAGCTCGTATGAAGGCCAGGACAAACCCACTCAGAGCTAGCCATAACATCCTACTTACTGCCCCCCCAGAAAAGAGGTAAGTGTGGTCATTTCCATTTGGTAGCCTTGAAGATCTGGACTGGATTGACATGAAAAGGAAGAGGCCAGTTAAGGCTGTGTGAGTTATTTTTCCAGTATATGCCATTTGGTTCTAGTTGCTTTCCAGTCTCTTTGTTCTTGACATCTATAACCATATTTCAAGTTTTCATCTTACAAATGAAATGCTGCACAAAAATGAAAAAGATAGATTAAAGAAATGTATGTGTGTTGATTCAGAGCTCAAAAATTATGTACCTGAAAGAAACAGTGAAAGTAAACATACAACATTTGATTCAAATATTGCTATAGAATAGAGTGAGATTCAAATGAAATTATTTGTCCTGTGGCTTGATGTCCTTTGCAATATTATTTAATGATGAGGATACATAAGACTTAAATGTTTTCTGAACATCACAGACGTTTTATAAAATTCAGTTTTTCAAAAATAGTGGACAGTTTAAACTTTATAAAAATTGCTATTTGTATTGTGAACCACATGCTTTAGTGCTTCAATTTTCTTTCTGCACAAACCTTCTCATGCATCAAATGCATCAACATTTATTTTAAACACAAATAAAACAAATATTTATTTGCTAATATTTATATCTCATTCAGTTCCAGAGACTCTGGGCAGCTATCATCCAAGTAAACTCATTAAAATAATCATTGTGACATAATCACTGCAATAATATAAAGATAAGGAATTGGCAAAAACAAATATTAGAGATAATCCTTGTTGCATATCTTAACAACTCCAAATGCTAATACTTAAAAGCATCTACAAAAGGAGGAGGCCATATGGATTTCAGGAGATGGTATATTCTACAACAGACATGTCAAATTCGTGATGTCATGTGACATCGCGCAATGTATCAGGATGGTTTTGCCATTGCCGGCAATGGGGTGGGCGCGGCTTCCGGATGAACGCGTCTGGCCCGCAGGCAGCAGTTTGACACCCCCGTTCTACAATGACAAAGCAGCTAGTGAAAAAACTGGTTTCCATGTTTTTTTTCCCCTTTCCCCTTCTTTAAAAATTGACAGAACACTTCAATTCCTGCAAAAAATATTTTGGAGCCCAGCTAATTGTGAAAAACAAATTAATATATAGCTGTAAAATACACGTCTTTAAATGCATTCACAAGCATTGCCCTTTCCTCACTGTAACATATATTCTACCAGAGTCTGATAATTATTTACTTTTGCCTATAAAAGTAAATAGATCTGAATTTGGTTTGCAGCTGAATGTGAGCCCTACTTGAGACTAATTTTTGTCCTCAGATATTACCTGATTATGTCTTATATTATCTCCAAGCAATTTCAACTGTTTGTTTTGTTACTTTCCACAGCATATCCCTGCCATTTTACAATCCTATGTTATTCTTCATTTAGAAGTATACATGCATCTTGCTGATTTGTTACACATTATCAAGACCAGTTTTAGAATGTGAGCAATGCTCCTGACCCAATCAGTTATTTGAGTCAGCAGTTTCCCACATTATTAGGACTGTAACAAAATGCTAGATCTCTTGTTGATCTGATGTATATTTTTTGTTTTATTTTTGTTCACTGGCAAAATGAGTTTAGGTAGTGAAGACCTGAGCAATGTTAGAAAGCTTGGTTTTTCATTAGGCTGCAATGGGTGGCCATTAAGACAAACAGTGCCTTCTGCTAAAGCAGTGGTTCTCAACCTTTTTAATGCCGCGACCCCAACTGGTCGTAAGTCGAGGACTAAACCGGTCGTAAGTCGAGGACTAAACCGGTCGTAAGTCGAGGACTAAACCGGTCGTAAGTCGAGGACTACCCAATCAGTCGTAAGTCGAGGACTTTCCCTGCCTGGGAGCACCGCGCATGCGTGGTTCCACCCCCTGCGCCGGCCGAGGCGTAGCTGGCAAGCGGCAGAGACGGAGCAGGCTGACCACCAGCTGGCCCAGCCCAAGGGAGGTAAGGCACCTGCCAGAAAAGGGGGAAAAATGGCGGACAAAAAAAATGGCGGACAGCCTTGCTTGGTGACCCCCTTGAAATGGTCGATCGACCCCAAATGGGGTCCCGACCCACAGGTTGAGAACCACTGTGCTAAAGGTTTATAGATAGATGAAAAGAGTAACAAAGTGGATAATTTCACCAAGTAATAAAAAAATAATCCTTTTTTGTTCATTAGGGATACCTGTAGATCCTCTGTTGCAGATGCAAAAGATTTTGTTTTGAAGGATGAAAATTTACACACTAGTGGGAACCAGAGTGATTCATCTAGTGGTGAGTCCAGCTATGGGCAGCAGAGGAAGCAAGGACTATCGTCTCGAGTGCGTTTTGAGGATGAATCTGCAAGGGACGCTGAAGTTCGCTATTTGGAACGCCTGCAGCAACGTCAGAAACGGCCCTTAGATTCAGTTCTGTTATCTCTTGGCCAGGGCCCACTGCTCTCCAAACCAGATCTTGCTGGCTATATAAACGGTGACCTCCAGCGTAAAGAGAGTAGCATCAAGAAATCTAGCTGGGAACATCAAAGCATGGGACAGGGAGCAAAAATGCGTACTCACCAGAGCAATGGAGGATGTTTTGAAAAAGTCAATAAAGAAAGGAAGTGTAGTGCCTGTGGGTCTTATATCAACAATTCAGCAGACACTAGAATCAACCAAAATGGGAATGGCAAATATGAAATTGCCAATGTCCTTCCTGGAGGCAGTGATACTGTTCATACTAACGGAAACAAAGAGCTTGGTGCTTCCCAGGAGAACTCACGGACAAAGCCTCTAGGTCCCAAAAGGACTCCATTGTGGATCCTTCCTTCTCGGCAGCGTGTTTTTGCAGAATGCATCAGGGAGACGTATATTGGTGAAATTACTAGTGCTGAAGATGTGGACTCAGCTTTAGGTAGCACCACTGACACATCAGATAGCTACAGGACAGACAGTGAAGAAGCTGGCATCAGCAGTCGGCAATTTGTAATCAAAAATTGCCATGGTGTCCCTAGGCCATTGTGTTCTTCAGAGAAGAAAGCCAACACTGTTAACAGGGACAGGGAATGGGGAAATGGCAGCTGCAAAAATAGTAAAGAAATTATTTGGGGTAATGTTCCTAACGTAAGCAGATTGGAAATTGGGTCAGGTACTGACGAAGCACAAATTTGTAGCTTGCAGGGGGGCTCTGAGGTAAAAGATCAGGAGACTCAAACAGCCATTCCAAGAAGCAACCAGCTACTGAATCTGTGTCAAATGGAGAAAGAAGACAAAGACAAAGCACAAACAAAGGTACATGGTGCCCAGTTGAGAGAATCTGTATCTTCCATCTATTCTCAGCAGTTGCTTTTTCAAGGTGGTATAAAAATTCCTATGAACAGACCAGTCATTAATTTATGCCAAACCAAGCAACATACAAAGCAGATGGCCACTACCAACAATTTAACGAATCTAATACCAGCACCCCCTGCTACTGGAAAAGTCCACTCCTCCCCAATGTCTTACAGGAGAGCTGTTTTAACAGGCAGCCACAAATTGATCAAACAGGATCCTGGGCATATAAATAAAGAACTATCAGTTTCAGCTGCCTCTCCTGGTTTCCAGGATGTGGGTGTATCTGGGCTAGAGGAGCATAATGGCCAGCAGAATCCAGGGATATTCTCTGAACATTTGGCTTCATCCTCCAATAATCACAATAACATATCTACCAAGTCAGAGCCCAAAACCATAATAACTGGCAGAGATGAGCAACTTCAGGAGAGTGAGAAGATGGGAAAAAATCAAGGTAAGAGATCATGTTGACTTGGCTGTAAAAAAGGGAATCTCTCCAACAAGGACATTAAAAATGTGTGCTCAAGTTATTGTTTTATTGAAAGATAGCTATTTGGTCTGAAAGTGAGTATGTATTTGGGATATTTCCACAAATTTGAATAGGACGAAATAGCGAGGGTATATAAGAGGTAAGCAACAGTGAGAAAACGAAGTTAGTAAAACATATTTAGAGTAGTTGGAAGAATATTTAAAAGAATGTAAAGCCCATATCTCATTAGCATCTACTTTCCAAAGTAGATAAACAAAATCTTAAGAATGCCCCAAAGCAAGACATAAGGGCCATAACTTTCTTTTTCTGTTGATTTCCAAGATGCTGAGGCATGCAGCTGGATTCTGAAGATATTACAATGGGTAGCCATTGATAGTCTTCTCCTCCATTAATTTGTGTAATTTGCTGCTAATTCTTGTCGTAACATACCCTGTTTTGTAATTATGCACTACATACACTATGCAAGTACATTAAACAATGCAGTTTTATTGAGTATTTTGATGGTTTCCCAATTTTATTATTACAATCAAAATGATTAGAAAGGTAATCATTCATCATTCATCAAAGAATAAGAGCTAAAATACATATTGCACATCTGTCAGATTATGGAAGATAATTAAATTTTAAGAGTTCAATATCCAAAGAGGTAGTTAGCAGCATCAGTCCGATGTAGCAAAAAGAAAGAATATGATAGGTCCTTAAAGATTAACTGGTTATTAATCTAATAAAATGATTATCTTTTCATGGATTATAAATGCAAATAGTAGTAATGGTATTTTTATTTAGTAGGCATTTAAGCATAGTACAAAGAAGGAAATAATTTGTAATATTTATAAACCAATGTAAACAATAAAACAATATCATAATCAATTTAAAATATCAAATCCCAACACTATCATACTTTAATTAACATCATCTACTGATATTGAAAAGTTCTTTCAATTGCATAAAGGTCCTGAAAAAAGAAGCATTTTAAAGTATTTTTAAGCCTTGGAAGATCAGATCCTAAGTGTAGTAGTTCAAGGGGGAATAACTTCCAAATAGGAGGAGCTAGATGGGAAAAAGCTCAGAAACATGAGATGGCTGTTCTAAGGCAGAAAAGAACTGGACAGCGCTGATTCTATGTGTGAACTGAACACACAGAACCATGATTTCATATTAGGTTAATCAAGAATTGGATGTTCTTGTCAACACAAGCAATTTAAACTGATAATGTTCCTGAGGTCCTAGCCAGTGTAAATGACTGATGAAAAAAAAATAGGGGTGATTTAAAAGAGGTCCATAAACTACACAGACCGTTCTAGACCCAACCAGAGGGCGTGGAGCAATTTCGCGAACAGTAGTAAGAAATAAATGAATTCAGAAGTTGTACATAAAAACCCTTGTAGTTTTATCTTTAAGTAAGTTTCTCATTAACAAGAATTCCCAAGTATTTTCCCACAGAAGATGCCTACAATTGAAAATTCTCAAAAAATTTTAAAAAGAGGAAAAGAAAAAGAATTCAATCGGGAAGAAAAACAATAGTTTGTTTTTAAATCTAATTTAAGGCTGGAGGAACATGTCCATCTGAGTAAAGTAGTTGTAGAGGGAAAATTATAATGCATCATCCTGGACTGGAGCAGAATAATACACTTGGATGTCATTGGCATAAATATGATAATTATTTTTAGTTATTGATGAAAAGAAAGCGGAAAATCTTTATACAAAGGGGTGCCTAGAAAGGAACCATGATGAACACTGTCAAATGAAGGAATGGTTGACAGCAAAGATTCTCCTACTTAAATGAAAATGTATGATGGAAAATGTAAGACTGGAATCATTGAGAAACTGCAAATCATTGATAAGCTAAGTCAGTCCCAATCCAGTGGAAAGATCTGCACAATGCTTTGATTGAAATCGGTTAGTAAAATTATTTGCTGCAGGGATAATCTTAGGCAAAAATAAAAGTGAAGACCCTGACCAAAAATAAATAAATAAATAAATATTCTCCTCCCCTCCCCTCCTCTCACCTCACCTCACCTCACCTTACCTTTCCTCAAAATTAAAAATAATACAAATATTCAAATACAGGTAGTTCTCAACTTAGGAGAGTTATGACCCCTGCCCGAAGTTACAGCCATTGCAATTCTCCTGCAGCCATGTGATCAACATTTGGGTGCTTGGCAGCACGCTGGCTCTTACAGCTGGATGGGTGCTTCAACTCTTCCCTACCGATCTCTACCCCACGTCTCAGCTACCCACCTGGCCCACTAGCACATGCAAAGTTGCTGCTGCCCTGGAGGTCTCAGCCTGCTCCCTGCCTACTTCTCTCTATCCCACCACATTTGGAAGGCCCTGGCCTTCTCCATGCCCCACCATTCCCAAGTCCACATAGCTTTGCCTTTTTGTGTAGCTTCTAACAAACAGCTAATGAACACAATGTTTCTGAAGGCTAGGAAAGCCTGTCTACCCTTCAGAAACATTGCCCCTTCCCTAGCTTTCCAGCCAGAAAATATTTCTGAAGGATAGAAAGCATAGCACACAGAGGAGAGGGGGACTCCTGGAGGGGGGCAGAGAAAGGAAGCTTGGATTCTGAAGATCTGAGCTTCCTTTCTCCAGCCCAGTATAGCGGTTCCTTTCTGCACACAGAGGGAAGAGGAAGGGCCTGTGGTGGGTTGGAGAAACAATGTTTGGATCACAAAGATCTAACTTTCTAGGTTCCCTTCTGTGCTTAGAGGGGAGGGAAACTTCAACACTGGACTGGAGAAACAAAACTTAGATCACAAAGATCTGAGCTCCTTTTCTACAGCCCAGTGCAGGAATTCTCTTCTGTGCATGGAGGGGACTTGCCTGCCCACCCGCTTAATGACTGCAACTGAAAGAGCCAGGATTGTGATTGTTGAGTGAAGCTCTCATCTGGGCATCTCACTTAACAACGACAATGATTAGAACCAAAATTCCAGGTCATAAGTTAAGATTACCTGTATTTGCTTCCCTCACCTACATTCAGTTAACATGTTTTAGTTCAATCCATGTTTAATTTATCAGGGTTATGATTGTTTGCTGCTCGGTGTCATCAGTTTGAGACGGGTGGCTGTAGAAATTGAATCAATCAATAAATCATCCTGCTATTTCTGCTTATTCCATTTGTAGGAGGTTAAAATTTTGCAAAGCAAAACCTTTTCTACTTGAGTGTAGGAATTGTACATATTTTCAAAATTAGATGATCTAAATTGTAAATCAAGAAAAGGGTTTTTTTTCCCACAGAACACCAGCCCCCAGGATACCATATGGGGCCACACAAATGGTAATGGAACTTTCCCCATTCTTCTCCTTATGCTAAGCAGATGCAAAACATGATCTCATTTTTTTAGACATCAATGAAATTTTATATACTAATATTTTCTATATAATATTTTACACTTGCCAAACTGTAAAATTAATTGTCCAGTTTTCTTCAGTCATACATTTCTTGCATTTATGCATCCCTCAGTCTGCAAACTTGAATCAGGATGGACTTACTTATTTCCCAACCTTTTCAGAGAATTTTAAAAAGAAACTTCAGCTGAAAACATTTTAATTGGATTTTTTTATCAACTAATTTTTCTTCAGGCTTATTTACTCCTCTATTCCATGGAAGAGAATGCTTAGAATTAGCTGCCAGAAATTCCTCTATATGCTTATAGGTTGTTTATGTTATCATTCTGAAAGCCACAACTGTTATATATGTTGTGATGATACTGATGGTTATGTAGTTTGCATAAGTTTTATAAGCAGGAGAGTTGTTAAACTATTGTAATATCCTAGTTAAGGTGCTATCTTCAATTATGAAAACTAGCATTATGTCTTAAAGAAATCTTGATATGGAAGATAGGTGAAAATTAAGAATATGATATAATAAAATGACTTCTTTTACCAGTAGAAGAGAATATTTATAGTCCAGGGTTGAACTATGGCGTCCTTAGTGCTCTCTGACCTTGATTGTTTTCTTGCAGATGTTTCATTACCAAACTAGGTAACATCATCAGTGTGACTTCTTTTACTTCTTCTGGACTTCTATATAACAAGTCCATTTTAAGCTTGTTTCTAGAGCAATCTGGAAATCAAAAAGCCAGAAAGTTTTTGTGACAATTTAATGCCATGCCTATATTATTGTCAAATTGGATGAATTATTACTATATTTCTAAAGAATGTAGACAATTCAGAAGGATGTAATGAAATTCTCAGTATCTTCAAAGAACCTCTGTTTCTTAGCATTCTGTGTTGGGGGAAAGAGGTACAGTATGTGTAAATGTAAGATCTCTCCCTAGATTTTCCAATTTGTATCGTGCCACTGTACAAGGCTGGCATCTGATATATGTTAAGAACATTTTCTTTGATAAAAGGATGTATATCAGACATTATTTTATGTGCTAAGCCACAATTACTTGTTATGTCCTGTCATACTAGCTGAAGGTGGAAGTCCACCCCAAAGGTGTTCTAAGAACAGCAATTGGACGTATCTGTATCGTTGCAGTAGGTCCATCATCCTCAACATGTGGTGTTCCCCCTGTTGCTCCCAATGTCATCAGTTCCACTGCTATTAATATCTCCCTGACAACTGAAGAGACCAACTTCACAATCTCCACTCAGTCAATCAGTAGAGAAGCTCCAGTAGCAGCTATGCCGAAGATAAAACCTGGGCAAGCAAATATTATTCAATGGTGAGTAGAAATATATTGTTAGAAAGGTTAAGTGGGGATCTCATAGAACAGGGCTGTTTGTAAGATCAAATGTCATTTTTCTAAAGCTAAAACAAATTAATACATTTCCAAATTAATCCCTCTTTACATGTTGGAATTTCTCAGCCAGCATGGTCAAATGATCTGCTACTGAGAGATGCTCTCCATCAGCCTTCCTAACTTGATATTCTTTAGGTCAGTGATGGCGAACCTTTTAGAGACCGAGTGCCCAAAACCCGTCCCACCCGCTCAGCCCCTGCCCCCATTCCATCCCCCACCCTACCCCCACTACGCCCTCATCCCACCCGCCTACAGGACCACCCACCGCCTCCATAGCCCACTGTAGCAGATCACCCAGGCGGCCCAGCAGCGTCATGGCAGCCATCCCCTCCACCCACACCCCGCAGCATATCTATGCGCGACGGTGCGTGAGGGTGGAGTCTTGTCCCTGCTGCCATGTGCTTGGGTGCACTCCTCCATGCGGACCATGCCCGGGGGTGACTCTCAGCCGGGGGCTGCTGGTAAGGAGGGGGCCATGGGGGGAGGCAGGGCTGGGGCAACGGCGTGCGTGCCCACAGAGAGGGCTCTGAGTGCCGCCTCTGGCACGTGTGCCATAGGTTCGCCACCACTGCTGTAGGTTAACAGAACTTTATCTCCCACAAGTCTGGCAAGTGAGGGGTTATTACTGCCACTTAATAATCTCTTTTGATGAAGGTTAGCCAAAACTGGTTTTTAATGACCAAGACACAGTTTAAGCAAAACTGTTTTTGCTTTGTTCCTACCACAAGCTGTTTCTTTACAATGGCATATACTAAAGAAGAGCCAGTGTTGTAGTGGTTAAGGCACCAGGCTAGAAACCAAGAGACTGGTTTAGTTCTATTCCTGCCTTAGACACAAAGCTGGGTGATTATAGGTGAATCAATCTCAGCCCTAGGAAGAAAACAATGGCAAACCACTTCTGAAAAACCTTGCTAAGAAAACGTGAGGGACTTCTCCAGGCAGTCCTCAAGAATCAGACACAATTAAACAGAGGAAAAATATAAGAAACATACTAAAGAAAATAAACAGCAGCTAGTTAATTTACAGCTCCTCATCTCATCCTCATAGCTCTCTCCCTCTTTTTTGTAAAGGAAAGGCCTCCAGAGTACCAACTTGTTGGAAGTGGAAAAGGTTGCCAGGAAGAAAGTAATTCTATTTGGTGTGGCTAGCAAGCTTAACCAAATGCTTTTTAATTTGTGTTTTCCCAGTTTTTATCCTTGCAACAATTTTGCAAGGTAGAGTTAGGATTTGAGGTACTTCTCCAAGATTACATAGCATCTGAACATTATTTGTGAAAGATATACTTTCCATGCAGGATACACATTTCCTTCAAAAGGAACCTGGACATTTTCAGTTAATTGGTAGAGTGGATTGGTTGAACCTCCCTATGTCTTGCTACACTGTCTCATATGGTGGGAGGTGCTCGTAGGAGGGATGAACAAATAATGCTGGGAATGTATGCCAAGAATAATTAATTACTCCCATCAGGGTCATCCAAGGCTTTTAAACCACTACAGTTAAAGCAAACAGGGACCTATATTGGCAGCAGCAAAACAGGAAGAAGATGAATAGGCAGATGACAGCTTTAGTGACAATAGCAAAGGCATTGTTACACACTGCACATGATAAGGCAATGGTAAATAACTCCTGTAATTTTTTCAAGAAAACCGCATGGATAGACAATATAAAGTGACTCGTAATATAGTGCCAGATGGTGGCCCTTTGGATTGTTCTTGAGCAGGGCTTTTCAGCCTTTTCACCCATTGTACCACTTTTAGGATATGGCAATATCCGAGTACCACCAGTCGCCTAGCAAGGTGTCAAAAACTTGATAACAAAAAAAAAAAAAAAAAAAGGAAAAAAGTGATAAAGTACAGGTAGTCCTTGACTTACAACAGTTCGCTTAGTGACTGTTCGAAGTTACAATGGCACTGAAAAAAGTGCCCCCCAAGGCACAGCCGAGCAAGACACCTGCCTGCCTGCCCGGCCGCGCTCTTCCTCCTGTCCGAGGTTTTCATTGTTGTGAGCACTTCTGTTGAGGATTGGCAGTGGGGGTGGGGTGGGGGGGTGCTTGGTTTTTATTCCCCCCATCTGCTGAGTGGTTGCAGCAGGTTTTGGTCACTTCACATGACCCTGGGACACTGTGACCGTCATAAATATGAATCAGTTGCCAAGCATCTGAATGTAAATCACAAGACCCTGGAGATGCTTCAACATTCCAGCTAATTGGCGCTTCTTCTGGGCTCAGCAGAAGCCCCAGGATCAGCACCGAGCTCCAGCTGGAGCCTGGTGCTGATCCTGGTGCTTCCTCTGAGCCCTGACAGCCCTGCAGCTCCAGCCATCTCTCACTCAGGCTTGTGCGGTGCTGCCACTGGTTCAGCTCATTTCCCTCCCCCGCTACTACTTTTCTAGGATGGTCGTGTACCACCTGCCAGGTGCCAATGTACCACAGGTGGTACCTGTACCACTGGTTGAAAAGCCCTGTTCTTGAGGATCTTTCAGAGTGTTAATAGTGTAGTCATGTTAAATATTTTCTGATATCTTGGTGCTGATATTGTTATGCAGGAAAAGCTCAATCTGAGATCAACAGATTATGCAAGCTTTCTTACTTGAAGTTGGACACTAGAATGTTAGTTCTAGTGTTAGTACTAGTTGGAAATAGTAAAGAGGAAAATGTAGTTGTACTGGCTTAGGAAATGGGTAAGTGGGAGAATGATTTGTCAGTTTCTTCCAATCTAATTATTTCTGAATTACTACACAGTGTTTAAATAACCAAAATTATATCTACGTACCTGGACATCACAGTTAAATAAATCAATTTTAAATTAATCGATTAAAATGACCAGGCTCAATTTATCGTATTTTCAGCACGTTATGCAAAGACCTGGCTCTCTGACGAAGTCTGTGGTAGGGAGAAAAGTTGAAAGAAAGGGAAGAGAGATCAGCAACAAGATAGATGGAGTCATTTGCAGGGGTGATGGGTGCATCATTGAAGGGCCATGTTGGGGAAACATTATCCTGGAGAAAGTCTATTTATGTGTTCACTAAGAGTGAACCTCAAGTTCACATCCAGATTCAGCGATAGTTTCATTCCATACAGCATTAACCTTGTGAACTCTCAAGCTTCCTCCTTCCATTATATATTCAAGTTGGACAGTATTTAATATTTATTTGCTATGTATATGTAGGGGTGTGGGTCTATACATATGTTGTACTTAGTATGTTTAGGTGTTGTGTCATGTATGTGTTTCACTTTGAGAGTGGGCAACTAAATTTCATTTTTGATGTGTGCTGTTGTGCCCACAGTAAAAAAAATGACAATAAAGGTTATCTTATCTTATCTATGTTCATAAGGCTCCCGGGTTCTGTCCTGTAATTCACTGTGCTGGTTTTAACAGAACAGAGTAACAGAGTTGGAAGGGACCTTGGAGGTCTTCTAGTCCAACCCCCTGCACAAGCAGGAGACCCTACCATTCTGGACAAATGGCTGTCCAATCTCTTCCTAGGACCCTTTTTCTCCCAGGGAATGTAGGAGTACAGACTGAATCGCACTTTCAGTTTGTTAGCAACAAATGCTTCCCCCATGTCTGCTTTCAGCTCTCTGTGATACAATCTTTCCTCTGCTGAACTCCACGAGGCCTGCTGCAGTTCTCTCCATGGGTGCTTTCTGCTGTTTTTGGGTTTGGCTTTTCACTCTCACAGCAGGCAAGTACTGCCTTGTTGGTGCTGCCAGCAGGCTTAGAGCCCCAGTTGCCTTCCCTGCTGTTTTTTCCCCTCCCTCTTAGCTCTGAAATCTGCTTTGACCTACTTCTCCCTTCCTGCCCAAATCCTCAGAAAGTTCTTGTTATGGCTAGATATCTCAGTTCACAGAAATTAAGCCGCCTCTTTCTAATCCAGGAATTATATCTAAAATGCTAAAAAGGCATATTATTGGTTTCTTCAATACATCTAATATATATTTTGATAACTCGAGTAGCTGCGTTAATAACATCAACAATGTGATTAATTTGGACTCTACTGCTTTCTTATTAGTTAACCAGATAAATAAAATAATTTGATCTGATGAGATTCTGTCCAGCATTGCCAGAAACAAATTAATCTAAGCCAGCACAAGCTTGATAGATTTACTGAAAAGTAGGTTGAGAATATAGATGAGAGAGAGAGAGAGATTATTTTGTATACACAGGGCACAACATTCTATTTTTTTTTAATTAAAAAGCATAATTTAATATAATGGGCTTATTTCTTTCTGGCCAGTTTGTACAATTTGGTTGAACAGTTGTTATTTCTTTAAAACCAGGAGTGAAAGGGTGAAGTTTGATTCTCAATAGCATCTCTTACTCCAGTGGTGACTCTTAAGTGTTGTCATTCTGGAGGCTAAATGTCTATAATTTAGTCTTATAGAAGGCAAAGAAAATAAACGATTGCCTCTGGGGACAGCGTTACTCTGTTCATCCTTGACATAGTGTCACCTGCCTTGATAGAAGTAGCTATTTTGGAAATATTTTGTAAGACCTGATTTACAAATCTGAGAAATGTATATAGAGGGGGGAGTTATCAAGTCTGAGTTTTCAGGAGTAAAGAAAGAAACACATTTCAAGGCAGGGTGATGTAAAGAAACATATTTATATTTATTATTTGTTCATTTATTTCTTTATTGGATTTGCAAGTCACTTGTTGTGCAACTAACAGCGCAATGTAGCAGTTGGATCTACACAGTGTTCAGCTCCCATTGAATTACATGGGACACTGGATTGTAAGAAAGATGGAAGATTGCTATAATAGGAGCAAATAGGAAGAACAACACATTGAAACTCACAAAGCCTGTCTTTCCTGGGCCATGTGGGATTTCCTTCCTACCTAAAAGATCACAATGATGTACCATTTGCTCTGTTGGCTTGTTTTAAAAAAAGAGCCTCAATTAAAGCTTAAGCTCTTTCAAAATACCTGCTTGATGTTGAACCCCTTTTCTCTGTCTCTCAACCTTCAAATTTCTGAGTGAGACACATGAATTTATTTCTATTGATAATGCCTTGTTTTCTTTCTTCCTTTCTCTTCCTCCTATTTTCAAGCTGCTTATAATTTCTTTGGGGTATACCTCTATCCTTGACCTATGTGAAGTTCCCTACATATTAATGATACTACATGGTGTACGTCAGCCTTTCCCAACCTACTGTTCACCAACTATGTTGGATTTCATTTCCCATAATTCCTAGTCAAAAAGGCTGATTTTGATAAGCAATGTTCTGATCAAAAGCCCACTTGCTGCAATGTATTTTTGAGTATTCACTTTTTTGACAGCACCCCAATATATTACTCTTCTTTGACAATAACCACAAGGTACAGTATATAGCTGTCTATGAAGCATGTTTACCAGAGATATAGTAGAGTATAGCTCTTTTAATTAGTCAAAATATTGATAAGATTGGAGACCAAACCCTTACACTTTTCAATACCGCATATATCTTGCTCTGCAGTTTGAAATGGAAAAATCCTAGTTATAGTAAAATGAAAAACTTAATTACACAAAGAATGAACTTCACAGAAAAATAAGCTCCAATTCTCCAGTTATAGAATTTCTCTCTATAATTTTTTAAGCAAAAACAAAGCAAAAGTGGTACATAAATAAAATAAAAATAAATTAATATTAGCTGGGAAAGGAGTTTTTTAGGTTAGAATTGTGAAATATATTGATAATAGTAATAGTAGTTTCTCTGTTTCTTGGGTATTAATGTCGTTAATTTGAAAGTATAGATAAATATGTCTACTTGGTCTATTAATTGTTTATTTAATATTTGTAAATCCTTTTAAAACCCTTTTATCATTTATTGTCCTTGGGTTTTTTGTGTGCCTTCAAGTCAGGCAAGATTTTTGGAAGTGGTTTGCTGTTGCCTTCTTCCTAAGGCTGAGAGAGAGTGACTGAAACTTAAAATCTCTCCTGGTTTCTAGTGTGATGCCTACTAACCACTACACCAAACTGGTTCATTGGGGCGCTGCAAATTGTAAATAAAGTTGAAGGTACTCTTGCTTTTTAATTTGTAATTCTCTTGGCTGGTTTGTTTTGCCTTCCAGCAAACACTTAGAGGTCTACCCGCAGCCAAAGAAACAGCAATCCACCAAGAAAGAAGTCTCTTCTACATCAGGTTTTAAAAAATTCTTCACCACTCTGAGTCAGAGCACGAAACAAAAATTGGGCAGATTCCGATGTTATAGCATGGAACAGATTTCTATGCTAGAATCAGGAGCTGCCAAGCCCAACATGGAAACTGGTCCAGATAACATTTGTTCTCCGAAAATAAAGAAAGTATCTTCCTTACAATCCTTGCAGATGGTGAGTTGAAATTGTGTTTTTAATTCGGTTTTATAACAAACCTGGGTATTTTACAGCTTGTGTTGAAACTGTGTTTTTATTAGAGTGCGTGACAGACCTGGGTATTTACAGCCTGCAGGCACCGTCTGGCCCATAAGTGGCCCCAGTCCAGCCCATGGCATGGGCAGTAGCAGTGGCAGTGCATTGGCGGCAGGAGCTTTGGGCTGTTGGGCAGCATCAGTGGAAGGGGGCAGGGGGGCTTTAGTGGAGGGCAGAGTGCTGGCGGTGGTGGTCTTCCACAACAATCCCAGTTTCTCATGTGATACTCCTGTTTTATGAGATGAGGTAGCAGTAAACTACGTTAGTTTTTATGGTACAGTTTTAAAACTATTTTCCAGAGGAATATTAGCTTTACAATGATGACTTATTATCAATAAAATATTTTTTGTTATTCAATGCATTTTACATTACACAGCATCATGAATGTTTAAATATTTTAAATCCTGAAGTCCACCTGTAAGCCCAGTGTGCATCTAGAAATCCATTTCATTTTTTACAATATAATGACACCACTGAAATCCATCTTAGACCACCTTAGTTTGTACTGCTCCCAGTTCTTTGAGTGATGAAGTCCAACGGTCCTAGTTATTCACTGATTCAAACACTCTGTATATTGATTCTCTACTTTTCTGTTGTTCCTGCTTTTCAATTATTTTTTTCTACCAAATCAAAGGAATATTACAGAAAACAAGATCATTCCATTATCCAAGTCTAGCTGTCCATGAATAAATATAAGGCACAGCAAGAATCCACTCCGATAGGAAATGATTTAACAAGACCATCTCTGAGGATCATGAAAGTGCTGCTGAAGTTCTATATGTCAAAACAATGATAATAATTGCAGAGTTTCCGGGGTGGGGGAATACTTTTCTTCAGTTGGCAAGTGAGAAGGGAAGAACAAACAACTGTATGGTTGTTTGCCAGATAACATTATGTAATTTGTTAGGATGTTCTAGTGGTATTGTATAATATAAAACTGGTTTATTTGACCAAGATTAAAATAGATTAGTTGCTATTTCTGGAAATTTTAATGGATGTTTATTTTCTGGCCAGGACTGGAAAATGATGTTTTAAGGTTTTGTTTATAATTAAAAGTTATATGGGAAATTTTTTATTATTTTAAATTTATCTGAGTAAGATTAAAACTGTTAGGTTATCTGGTACCTTTAGTGTATTCTAGATTTGAATGATGAGTTTGGAAGAACTGTTTTATTATAGAAAATGAGATATACCTTAAAACAGAGCTTCCCAACCTTTCTGGTTGGCAGCCCGGAGGGAAAGGGAGGAGCAGGGAAATGTAGGTGCATGTGTGTGCATGCACACGTGCCACACTTGCGCAAAATGGGCATGCACATGGTGGCGGCACTAGTGCCCGCACGCATTTGCAAGTGGGTCACGCACACCCACGGCTGGTCATGCTGGTGGTGGCGCTGGTGCCCGCATGCCTATGCAAATGGGCCGCTAGCGTCCATGCGTATGCGCAAATGGGCCCGCTAGCCCGTGTGGCGGCACTAGCGCAAGTGGGGAGAGTATGTGCACATGTGCGCGCACTTGCCAGCCATTCCCGCAGCCTAGTGGCCAATAGGCCACGGACCAGGTTGGGGACCCCTGCCTTAAAAGGAAGAAATTCAAGAGGGTTTATTAGATCAAGTTTATAATAGATAGGCTATTATTTTTGTTAATAGACCGTTGCTGATTAGGATGGATGATGAGGTTATAAAGATTTGATATTAAGAATGAGGTGAAAACATTGTTCTATTTTAACAGACGTTGATAAGTTGTTAAAATTATTTGTACATGCTGGGACAAAGGGGGAAGTTACTTTTCTTTCTCATTCTAGGTTTTTTTTTCCTTCTTCACAGTTTTTTTTTATGCTTTGTGTTAGCTTTTTCTGCGTAATGTAATCTTTGATAAACTTATTATAAAATAGGAAAAAACCACTGAGTTATTGACCCCTACTAAATATCTACTATTTATCAAAAGTAAAAATTTCATAAGTCCGTGTGCATGGTATTTAATTATGTGATTATGTTGTGGCAATACAATACTCTTGAAACATTAGAATTTAGGTCTTTGAAACATATTTAATATGTTACTTAATGAAAACAAATCCAGTAGCACTGCCCCCCTTTTTTGTTTTTGTTTTTATCTCTTTTGGTTTTCAGAAGGATCAAGCTTGCAGTCAGAAAACTTTATTCCTCTTTGTCCAATATATCTGCAGTTTGATTCTTTAATACTCATTCTGATTTGCAGTATTTCCTCCCACTAGGTGTCACCTTTTAGCCAACCAAGAAAAGCCTCTTCTGTTCAAAATCTGCATTCCTTTTTGGGCAAGAATAATCGGTCCAATGTCTACCTGGTAGGGGAACCTAAGGATGAAGAAGCTTCTTCTAACAGGTGGGAATTGGGATACTTTAGGTGAATGTTGTGACCATATCCTAAATGGCTCTTTTTATGTGTTGGATGGTGGATAATCACGTAATCTGTTTTTAGACACTGATTGCAGCAACTCACCTCTGTCTGTAGACCCTGTAGTAGGACCTTCACATATCAGTTCACAGTATCCTGAAGAGTGGCTAGCTTTTCTGTAGTAGACATGAATCGTCCTTCACTGCTGTTTCTCAGGAGAAATGCAGAGTTTTTAAATACATCCATACTGAAGTTAGACTGCTCTGGTCGCATCATTCTGTTTTCTCTCCATGTTTCTGTTATATGTGATTTTTCATCAAGGCAGCTTCATCTTGTTTTCATTTTAGTATGCAGAACTAATCCATACATGGACATTTGTATTTTCCAGGTTCAGCTATAATGCTAATCTACTGCCTAATGTTCTATGCACAGAATGTGGGCTTCTGGGCTTAATTTCTAATACAGATGTAAATAGGTTATGGACGTTGTTGTTTAGTTTTCAAGTTCAAGTTCACATTTAGAGTGACATCTATTTAATAGTAACTTTGTGAATTCAAAGTGAACCTTGAGTTATTAATACTAATTTTGATTTATAGGGAATTATCTGTTTCATAAACAGAGTGGAATTGCTTTATTTTGCTCTATCATAATTATAGCAACCACATCAGACATTATGATTGCTTCAGTATACCTTCCTGCGAAGAAGAAAACTTATAATGCTACATAATTCAGTGTGAACACACAGCATGTTTGAACAAATCCATACAAATGTGTCTGAAAAGGTGTATTTTAATATATATTTTCTCATTCTTGAAATACATATCAGAGTATTTGAGAATGTGAAGTTTGGTGGCTAAATAGTCTGATTTGCTTGCTATTCGTGGTTATGCAACTGAAATCAAATTATATTGGGAATTCAAAAAGATGGACTCTCAGACATCCCTAAGCAGAACGCACAATTGCTAGAATAACATACATATTTTGCTTTTTACAATCAAATGCTTCTAGAATTGACTTCAAGCAATTTTTAAAAAAAAGCCCTGATATAGGTGGATGATGTGGTCAGAATTTTAAACGTAGGATAGCAAAAAGTACATTTGCAGAGTTGAAAAGTTACTAATGAATAATGCTGTAAACTTAGCATATCTCCTTTGTAGAAACTTCCTTTGTGCACATGGGGACATGCGTAGACTTGGTCTCCAAAGCCAAGCAAGATAGTTTCCAAACTACCTTATGCTATAAGTGTCGGCTTCACTTTTTTAGAGTTCCCATCATCATGTGAGCTGTAAATCTGCTTTCATTTAAAACCAAGATGTTATAAAGAAGTTAGATTAGACCAGGGGTAGGCAACCTTGGCTCTTTTATGACTCATGGACTTCAACTCCCAGAATTCCTGAGCCAGCCATGCTGGCTCAGGAATTCTGGGAGTTGAAGTCCATGAGTCATAAAAGAGCCAAAGTTGCCTACCCCTGGATTAGACGATAAGTGAAACAACCACCACCCTGTTCTTTGACTTCAGATTATATATTTGTCTGAGTATGACAATATTTTCCCCATTCTTAGGAAAACAAGGACTCAGCACAGAAGATCCCTCAGTGTGGAGGACATTGGGTCCCCTAACTTGGCGAGAACCGTTGGGCGGGTGGTAGCGGTTTTTCCAGATGGAACTAGTCAATTAGAATTGCAGCGGTCCCAACAAGGCAACTTTGGATTTCGTGTTTCCTCAGGGAATGGTCGTCCTGATACAGGTAGGAGTTTGGTAACCAATGGCCTGAAACCTTGAACAGGTAGACCCCTGGCTTACTTTTTAAAATTATGGTGCTGGAGCATCACTATAGTTTTTTAAATTGTGCATTTCTTTTTCTTTGCTGGCGTGGGGAAGGATGCTGGCTTACATTTGTTTTATTTTACAATTTGTACCCTTAATCTTTCAGCTGAGAAACAAAAACAGACGTAACATTACGAACTTAAAAACTAGCATTATATATTTTTAGTACTAAGAATCCAGGAATAGTCAAAATATTTTGTCTTTATCCACTGTAGCTTTCCAGATAAAGGAAAGGAAGCGGGATATGTAATACTTCATCTATATTAGGCCTTCAGTTGGTTTGGGTGATAGAAGGGAACTCTTATTCTTCCACATTTATTGTATTTATTGTCCTTGATATTTTGATGATCTACAGTCAATTAGGAATGAAATTCCTAATTGGTCACAGGTCACATATAAAATACTTCATTCCTGAAAACATATTGTATCTTAACTGTATCATAAAAGCATATTAGCACAATATTGGTAGATCTGCTATGTATATTTACTGTATTAAATATACATTCTTCCTTTTTATTTTTAAAGTTATATAAAAAAGTACTAGGGCACGATTTTGTCCAATTATACAAATAGGAAGTGCAACTCATGCAGGAAAGGTTCATGTGGAGGCACTACAAGAGATAAAAAGAAAGTTTGGGAATAGATACCGCAGATTTATCAGGCATTATCTATTCCTATTTTAGAACCCCTTACTGTAAAAGATAAAGCAATGGTATTACACCCATGCACGCATGGAAATCAAAGTCATAATTTGAGTGAATGGAACGCCTATGGTGGGCACAGGATGCAACAGAGAAACTGTAGGGCTGTAATAATATCCAAAATGTTCTTTGTATATACCCTGACAAGTTCAGAGAGGCTGTGATTCCTAAATCATAAATGCCAGTGTGTATATGAGAGTGGAATTATAACCTTCCTGAAATTCTTCTGCATGACTTTAATTCCTCTTCTCTTGCATATTCTCATGACATTTATGAACATGCCATGACCCCGCAGAGTAAGAATTGCCTATTTTTCTTTATCAGAATGTCTACCACTTCCTGAATATAGGACTTTGAAATAGGAATTCTACGTCTCATTACAACTACAAGCCAAAGAACCGGTCTACAAGGACTGTTGATAGTCTCTGGAAGCTCAGTTGTTAAAGCAGGTCTTATATATATTATTCCCTGCTCCCTATAACATCTTCCAGAGGGAAATTTGCTCAGTATTCTGAGCAGCAAAGAGATGCTCCTCCTTGTGATAGATTTTTTTTACCCTTCTGCCTTGTCTTCTTCTTTTTCATATTATAGATGGAAAAACAGGAAGGGGCATTCCTCAGAGGCATTCTTAAATAACCAGTTTCAATCTAGCCCTCTTCATTGATCTGTACATTCTAAGTTAACTTAGACTTAAAACATTTTTCTGGACCTGGAAGTTATTTTATTTTATTTTGCACATGGACTTCTGCAGCTAGATCTTATGCCAATTATGATATTGTTGCTTCTTTTACAATTGCTTTGCCCTGAAAGCCAAGGATGGTAATTTCCTAATCCAGTGGTTCTCAACCTTTTTAATGCCGCGACCCCAACCGGTCGTAAGTCGAGGACTAAACCGGTCATAAGTCGAGGACTAAACCAGTCGTAAGTCGAGGACTAAACCGGTCGTAAGTCGAGGGCTACCCAACCGGTCGTAAGTCGAGCACTTTCCCTGCCCGGGAGCGCCGCGCATGCGTGGTTCCGCCCCCTGCGCCGGCCGAGGCGTAGCTGGCAAGCGGCAGAGACGGAGCAGGCCGACCACCAGCTGGCCCAGCCCAAGGGAGGTAAGGCACCCGCCAGAAAAGGGGGAAAAATGGCAGACAAAAAAAATGGCGGACAGCCTTGCTTGGCGAACCCCGTGAAATGGTCGATCGACCCCAAATGGGGTCCCGACCCACAGGTTGAGAACCACTGTCCTAATCACAAATTAGCCACAAGATATATATACCCAAGCGCTGTTTTTGTAATGCTAAAATTATCCTTAGATAACTTGTCTGAGTTACAGCAGCAAAACACAGTGATGTTGCTCTTTCAAATAAAACAGTTATCCCACAACACTCAGAAAACCTAATTCATTTTCTAAAAAAAATTCCAGAACATCAAAAAGCATCCTCTCAAAGCATACCATTTTTTAACGTGGCATCATCTGCGCTGCCATGGCTGCATGAACCCTTGCAATTCTTGCTATTTATGATTTGGTGTAGTATTGAAATTGACAAACCACATGTATATCCAGGAAACCATGCAGCCATACCAAAAAATAGGAATGCTACACAAATGGAAGGTAAAAGCAGCCCTGTCATTCAAAACCAGAGTTGCCTGTATCAGTTATACCAGTGATTCTCAACCTTTTTGTCACCATGGACCTTTTGTGGCCATGGACCACGGCCACGGACCTCCAAGACTTAATTCAAGATTTAAATCATAACATTTCTTCAAGCCTTCATGGACCCCCTAAAAATGACATTGCAGCCCTCTCCAGGGATCCGCCAACCACTGAAATCATTTCCCTGTTATTTTTTGTTTCTGAAGAAATAGATTTGAAATATTCAGCCACATATGTGCTCCTCACTAGGCTACAAATCTACTTTGATATCCTGCTCTACAGCACTAGTTAAAAGTAGGCTCTGGAACACCACCAAGTATTTGGTAGAATCTCACTGTTTTTATGTTTTCTGGTTTTTTTTTCTTAAGAGAAAGACTATCTAAAGTAGGTCAAATGGCGGGAATAATTTGGAACATGTGTTCTTAGGGATTTTTTTTCCCCCAGGCAAGCTCCTGGGAACGTTGCAATGTTTGTGACTGAGTTGACAAATGTTTGTCCTGGTTCCAAGAATACACTGTTTCCATTACACCTCCACCCTAAAAATATTTCAAAATAAATTGGAATATATCTCAATTAAACAATTTCTTGTTCTGAGCTATCCTTTCCCAGGAAGCCTTGACTAACTAATAACTACATTTGACAAGTGGATTTAGACTATTTTTTCTTAGTCATTGTGCTGCTTCTCCGGATGGATTTTTTTTTCCTGTTTGCTTGTGCTAGTACACTTGAGTCCTCATTTATAAATTGCCAGTAACTACCTATAAAATAGCTTCCAGCACAAACAAAAACATAAGTTGTGTATTGATGTCCTGACAAATGTGAAACTCATTTTAATAGCTTGGCAACGTCCATGTTAAGAGAGCAAAACATAATTCCTTTATGTTCTGCTGTATTTGGGGATCTAGGGTTATAAACTTTTTGGATTTTCTAATTTAAAGTATAATAGAAAATCCTGCCTTATTTAAAAAAAAAAGGGCTCATCATTGCAGAAGTATTTTTTTTCATTTATTTAAAAGGTGTGTATTGCTGCCCATCTTGTATAATAGGAACCTCCAGATTTCTAGGAATTTTAATCCAAATTGAAGGCTGGGCACCTTGAATTAAAATGAACAATATTTCTGAATAAAGACACGGAAGTGTACAGTTTTCCAGCAAAGGATCGAAACTGAGTTCTGGCAAGACCAAGTGGTTCTGGGTTTGGGGTTCTTTGGACCCTGAAAAATTGCCACCTTCGGTCTTGGATGGGGGGGGGCACTGCCCCAAACAGATCCTGTGTGTAATCTGGGGGTTCTCCTGGACTCGTGACTCCTGCTCGAAGAGCAGGTGGCAATTGTGGCCAGGAAGGCCTTTGCACAACTGCAGATTGTGCGACAATTATGCCCTTTCCCTACTCACAGTCACTCATGCCCTAGTCACCTCCTGTCTTGACTATTGCAATGTGCTCTACATGGGGCTGTCCCTGAAGAGCATCCGGAAGCTCCAGTTGGTGCAAAATGCAGCGTACATGGTTTTGTGCAGACCTCGGTGTGCACATGTGTCACCTCTCCTGTGGGGAGCTGTATTGGTTGCTGATTTGCTTCCGGGTGAAATTCAAGATGCTGGCTGTCACCTTTGAAGCCCTTCAAGGCTTGGGTCTCTTGCCGGTCACATCTACTTGACCCATTAGAGCAGGGAGGCAAGGAATGTTGTGGGTCCTTTCCCCTAAGGAGATGCATCTGGCGGGACCCAGAAGAAGGGCCTTCTCCATGGTGGCTCCCTCTCTCTGGAACATCATCCCCCAGAGATTAAATTGGCCCCTACTCTGACACTCTTTAGGAAGGCACTGAAAACGTGGTTCTGCCAGTGGGCCTGGGGAACCCAGAGCAGGATGGAGCCCATCAAACGGCTAGTATGAATGTGCCGGGGTGGGTGTGGGTGGGTTATTATTTTATTATTTTTATTCTTGCTATTTTTATTCTTTTTATATGGTGTTTGAGTGGCCATGTGCAAGTAGGCGGCAATATAAATTTTCTAAATAAATAAATAAATAACCCCAGTTTTGGCTGACATTTATACTGTGATGTAGAATCCGTGGCATTATGGTTAGTGTGCATCACTTGACCTTTTAGCATGAATGGGACTTGAAATTTTGCATTTTAAGAACAGATTTAATGTGGCAACTGCATGACAAAACACAGTTTATTTGGTCAGAACTAGCATAATATACCGATTCCCCTTGTTTTAAACAGGTTATGGTCTTCAAAAATCTCACATAAGGTGAGACATTAAACCAGTGGATAGAAATGGCCAGTTGCAAGATATAGTATTAACATTTTGTAACCCAAATGTGCTAATAAGGCACATTTAGAGGCCTGTTCTTAAGCAGTACATCACTCCAACATGTTTTCTAGTGTATGGTGAAAACACTTTTTCCATTTTTTCTAATTGATGAATTTCTAATGCATGGGTTGGAATGCATCACGGCAGTAGAAACAGTAATAGTAATTGCACAGTACAACAGTAAATGCATGAAGGCAGAAAAGGTTTTGATGGCAAAAAGTTTTGGCATGCTTCTAGATTTTTGGTGCAAGTTGATTATGCTGAAACAAACCTAGTGGCAGGTGTTTTTTTTTTTTTGCAATTTCTTGTTGCAAAAGAAATCCAGCAGATTCTTGAATGAAAATGCTCGATTGCATAAAAGCAGATTCACACAAAGCAGGGAAAACTGTGATTTTCTATAACAAGTTCTAAATCTATATAAATAAAAATGTAAATGTCCGTTTGTTCAAAATCTTAAATCTCCGAAAGTTCTTCACCAATTGCTTTGAAATTTTGACACAACGTTGGATTCGAATATGCGCGTGTTTTTATATACCTATATTATATAGATGTCACACCTGTGACAGGTAAAAACATGCTTTTTTTGAAAAACAGCACCATCTGTTGGACATAAAAGCAACACACACTTTTACCAGACTGAGCCACAGCAACGCGTGGCCAGGTACAGCTAGTGATTAATAAAGGTCTAATAAGCTTAGGTTCATTGAAGAAGTGTTATATCTTGTCTCTCAGTTTTCCCTCAAGCTCTTTTCTGGTTTTGCAGAAGGAACGTTTCCCCCGTTCCACAGTTGCAACATTTCAATAAAAGGCTACCGTACTAAAGCACTAAATCCAATTTTATTTTTATTTTATTTTCTTAACAGGTATCTACGTCCAGGAGATGGCAGACACCAGTACAGCTAAACTCTATGCTGGACTCCTAGAAGTTGGGGATGAGATACTTGAAGTAAACGGTGCCAAGGTTGCTGGGCTGGGCCTAGCCCGGATCAATGAACTGCTGCTGTGGGCAGAGACGCTCTCCCTGCGAGTGCTGAAGCAGAGGCCTCTTCGGCAGTAGCAGAAGAGGAGACCCTTGCGAGGGAAGCTGGAAGGGGCAGCTTGCCTTGTGAACAGGGCAAGACACTTCTGGTGCTTATTACGCCTACCTGAGACTTGGGAGTTCGCATCCTTGTCTCAGTGCTTGGATGTGGATGGAGGCACAAACCAACCCCATGGGTTATTCTGTAATGGAAGCTGGCGTCTGTTGAATATTTAATTTATGCAAAGATTGGTCAAGGAATAGGAATTAGTTATCTGGCACCTCCCTATGCAAAGAATCGGGGGAGGGGGAGGAGGATCAGGTAACAATTTGTGGTTAAAGACTGATCTTTTGACCACCAATATCCCCACAAACTCTTGACCTAAAAATTGGAGGATGCTGGATCATCTTAATCCTTTAACTTGTATTAAAGTTAAAGTACCCATAACAAGTTGGGTGTGTTCATAAAAAACTTTTTTAAAACATTCAAGCTGATAGTTTTTCTAGAAATGCAGACGTTATTGACTGAATTGGAGAGCTGCTAAAGCATAAGTAATCCCTATTATGGAAATCTTATCTCTCCCCCCCCCTCTTTATTTACAAGGAAAGATTCTATGACTTGAGAGACTTTAAAGAAGTTAGATCTCTTTACCAGAAAATCTACAGTTCCTTTACAAACCTTAAGAGCCTTACAGGCATCCACAAATTCTGAATCAGTTTATGTGCTACTATATATATATATGCCCAAAACTCACTCATGCCGCAGTATTAGTAGACAATTCTATTTGTTCTATTTTAAGTGTTTTATGTTTGCAGTGAAAGCTATTTGACTTTGGAGTTTTTGCTCCTTCAGCAGTCCGGAGCTGAGAATTCCTGATGTTGGCAGATTCCCATAGCTTCTTAAAAATACTGAGCTTAATTTTTGGAGAAAGATTTCTCAGTTACTACCAGAGAAATTCTCCAGCTTGCCATTTTTCAAGTCAGTCTGAACTTCATATTCCTGTATCACTCATGTTCAGCTCTTTTCAAAACTTGCTTCTCATAAAGCGGTAATCCTGGGCCTGGAATGTACCATTCTAGGATGCACATGGAGTTCACAAGATGAAATGATCTTTGATTTGGTTGTTTGAAGAAATATTCAGTTACATCCATTTCTAGCTGCAATCTGAAATGGTAGAGTTCACAGCCAGGTCTGTCACCACTCATCATCTTTTGTGTCTATCTTAGAGCCATCTTCTAGTCTCTATAGTTGCAAAGACCAGGTTATCTCATGAGCTTTGTACCCAGAACATGATTGTGACAGGAGAGGCTTCTCTTTTTGATGTATTCAGCCCTGACCCACAACCATGGGTTGCTTTTGACAACACTGGAAAGCCTCTCTACCTTGTTTCACTGTATTTCTCTGATTAAATTATTTATTAAAAGCAGTTATGAACTCTTGGCTTGCATCCATGATGGTATAGCTGATTTGTGAAGTGAATGAATCATATAGGGTTATATAAAACCAGGATGGCCTACCTTTAGAGGGTTTCCACCCCAACTAATTTCAAGAATGCCGTGTAAGCAATCAGGAAAGGGAGTGGTGACCTAATCCATTTAGCCTTGGCCTCAGCCCATTGCTGCTTCATGTCCAACTAGGCTATACTTTCCCCATCAGATTAATTCAAGGGGATGTGGCCTTCAACATGATTTAGAGGAAACCAAAGTATTTCTGCATTCTTCCCAAGGGAGATAAGAACTTTCAAACCATGGCCTTTTCTATCAGCTGAGAAAAGGAAGGAATGAGTAAGTAGCAATTACCATGGGCAGGCAAATTCAAAATATTGTTGTGTTTGGGCAGAAAACCTAAAATACATATTTTTAAAATATTCTTTATATTTCAGATAAAGCAAATTTCAGTGGGAACAAAATCAAGCTCACTGAAAAAGAACTGAAACACTATGGTTATAGTGGGAGGACTGTTGATTACAAATCCTGCAGTAGCACCCCAATATTGGGTATGATTAACTTCGGCTTACAACCATCAAGCAGATTCCTAGACAGGAGGCCTTCATACCCTTTCTAGGTCATTATAGCTTCAAATGGTTATGAAATGACAGGTTGTAAAGTGAGGACTATCTGTAGCAGACCATGTGTAGCAAACCAGCAGGTCAAGAACATGAAACGTTGGATAGCACTTGGCAAGGACATGATCCACATCTACTGGCTAAAAAATCTTAACAGTAATACAAAACACCAGTGCCACAGATGAACCAGCCACTAGCTCCAATGCTGGGAAAGGTGGAAAGAAAGAGAAAAAGATGACCAGAAGCAAGGTGGGTGGACTCAGTTGTAGTGGTGATGAGAGCACCATTGAGTGACTTGAAACAACAGATTAGGGATATTACCACCCTGTTTTAGACGTTCCCACCAATCCTTTCCCTAACTTCCTTTTCTGTTCTATTCCTTTCCTTCACGGCCTTTCTTAATTTGTTTTCTAGAAGTTTAATTATTCCTGCTGGTATTTGTTAGACTGTCTCAAGTTCCACGTTGTCACACAACCTGGCTGCATGCCCTCCATTACAGAACAAAGTGATGTGAGTGAGCATTAAGTCCTTTTTTGGCTTCCTGCCGCAAAATCAACTTACGTGCCTAGCTCTAAAGCTGTGCACTCCCCTTGTAATTTGATGAATAAAATGTAGGGCTTTGACAGAAATTATTCTTCAAACACTAGAGGGAGGGATTTGTTAACTTTTTTAGCCATCCCTAAACTATAAACATGCCCCTTGCTTGTAGAAGAGTATTTACAATCTTTATTCTATAGCAACCAACTACGTCTGCAAATTCTATCCAATTCTAAAAAATAACAATAAATATTTATAAAGAAAGGAGCCTTGCATTCCCTGCCCTGCATGTAAATGTATTTGAAATTTGCCAAGATTGTCCTTTCAGAAGGGTTTACTGCCTATGCAGATTTCATCAAGTTCAGTAAGATTATTTGTTTATTTAAAATTACAGATTCATTCTAACTTTTATAGTCAGTAGAAAGCTTGATAGTTCAGATTTTCAAATTGCGTGGGGTGATTACAAATATAAAAAGCCAAGTACTGATGCTATTAATTATATTACAACTCTTGCTCTGTTGTGAGTTGACAAGGGGTTCTTTTGAATAAGAATGGAGTCCTTGTCATATCCAATATAACTCAGGGGGATAAATAGACAATGAACATATTAGAAAAAAAATTCAATTAACTGTTGAACTCACTCAGTGTTGAGCAACTTGGTATAAACACTAAGAGACAGTTTGGTCTAAATCACCCAAAATGTTTCACTGGTGAGTAGGTAATTAATGGGACCATCAGAGCTGCTACTGTAGCTACATAATTGTGAATCCTGGATAATTATGATCTTTCCCTTTGTTGGATCTTTTCAACTCTCGTGGTATCACAATTTGTGGGCCTGGCAAACAAGAACATTGCATAAACATGTCCTGGACCTGAAATATTATTCGTGCATTGAAATAGGCAAACAGGTTCTGTAGTAAGAGGTCATAATGAAGAATTCCTAGATAGGGAGTGTGACTTTAAAGTGTACCTATAATTTTTCATTTTATTATGAAGGAAGGAATAATCTTACATTATACTTCTAATCATTAACTGATGACACTTTCTAGAATGAGAAGCAAAGTTTTTAATACAGAAGTTGTGCTTTAAAGCCAGATTACACCCACCCCCTCCAAAATCTGTTAGATTCTATCTATCATGGTTCCGATAGATGAAACCTTTTAAAAGAACTTCAAGGCAAAAAATTATTCCTCAAAGAACATTTTATTCAGGTAACAAAGTATCAGCACTTACATAGTTGAACCCAAGACTAAATTTCCCTCCCTGATACAAAGTAACAAGTTGCAATTCCCACCCCAGAAAGGCTGTCATAAATCACATTCACCAATTACTCTAAAAGTTGGCTCTCCTTCCAACTTTTCAGCCCGCCAAAACTTTATCTAACACTGGCCTTGGTCCTCACCCAGCTGCAAATGTTATGGCTAACTTAAAAAGCTCAAGCATTCCTCCCCTTCCCCCCTTCTACATCTGAGAATCCCAAATAACAGAAAAAAGCACAAGGAAAGCAAAAGGTAAAATGGCTGCAATTTCTCAATTGTCGCAGGGATGACACTATCATTAGATCTACCTATCCAACCAGAATAACATTTAGTTGCCTTTCAACTGGTATTTGCTACCATCTCTTTCCCTAAGAAAATACTTTTCCTTTTCTTTTAACTGAGAAATATAACCAGACCTTGACCCCACTATCTGGGTAGTCAATCTGGAGAAGCCTAGGCTTTCTGAAGCATGTTGCAATCTCAAGTCACAATTGACACCTCCCCCCTCAAAATAGCTATATAAAATAAGGTTTATTTAGCTGCATAGCATTTATTAAGAATACACCACAGACAATACATTTACTTTTTCAAATTCCAGAAATTCAGCATGTCTTAGGATGGAGTTAGCAGACTTTGCAGAAATGCCAGGTTAAAGTTAACACACAGGGAGAGATACATAACTTTTTAAATATATTGCAATTATAGAAATCCTTTAATATCTAGGCATAAATATTACAGTAACAACAACAACTTTATTTCAGTTTGGAGGAAAAAGAAGAAAGAAAACAAAAAAGATCTAGAATAAGAAATATTTAAATATTGAATTGATTGAATTGCAACAGTTAAATAGGTGACTCTTTCAATGTTATTTTTATTTCAACTTTTCCAATATAAATTATTGATGCTATGACAAAGAAAAATCAAGGTCATTTGCAACAATACTAGAAATGTTAGAGTTAACTGAGTCTTTAAATGCCTGAGAAACAAGAAGGATGCAAGTTTCTAAGTCTAAAATTGTATAATCAAGCAGCACATTTGAGACATAGTCCATTTATATGGGAAGATCCAACAAGACAATGGATATAGATAGAAACCATGTAACAGCTTGATAAATCTAAATATCAAAATCACTTTTCTTGCTAAGGAGTCTATAAAATTAAATAATATAAATAATACATTCACAAAAGTTATGTTTCAGGTTTGAAA